TGATCCCGAATTTATTTCTTACTTTTTGACTCAAAATGAGAAAGCCTATTTAAGCATCTGCTTGAAATTTGGATAGGGGTTATGACAATGCAAATATATGTGATTTTCCAAAATGCAAACTGATGGGTTTTGGAAATTTCCCAAGGTGAATGCAAATTATATAAATACAGGTTTCAGTGAAAACTGCAACCAGCATTGCTTTGTTAAATCTAATTCTGTATAAATAGAAACCTACTGCCAGAGTAAAAAAAGGCATTAATAATTGCAAGGTTAATCTCAGTCAGTTATCTCCCCTCCCTTCATTATGCAAACTCTTCTTCTTCAAACAGCTACTGTTCCCCTTCCATCTCCTGCTTTCTCTGTCCCATTCAGACAAGTTTTTACCCTTCCATATCACTAAAGATGGCTGCATACTAGGAGAACAAGGTTATGCTCATGATGAAGAAAAGTACATTAGCACACTGGATTGGATGCATGTTTGTACACAATAAGTGACAGGCAGGTGGACTAAAGATATTTGCTGACAATCATAGCTCAGCCTTACAGTTTTATGAATATTCTCAAGCCCTGTAAAACCCTCTAATACAAGACATAGTAAGTTTTGCACTCAAACCGTACCAGGAATAGTATCAGACCTATTTGTAGGTAGGTGAGTTGGTAAAAGCCAATATGTCTAAGATGTTTCTGTCACTTTTTTTCCTTACAAATTAGTATTTTGAAGTTTAAAGAATAAGATACACACACACACAGAATAAGGCACACAAAAGATAATGAGATTGCAAGATGGCTGACTAAAGGTGCTGATGTGCTTCTCAGCACAAAAAAAACAAAAAAGGACCAAAAACCAAGAAAACCAACAGCTATTTCACTAGAGGGAGAGCATGGGAATGTAGCAGGGATGTGGCAGGGATATCATGGAGCACAGAGGCACACAATGGCCTTAAAGAAGGGAAGGAAGCACACAGCATCCAGTATCTCCCTCTCCAGTGGTGATTATCCCTAAAGCAAGAGGGACTTTGCTCAGTAAGGAAGGGTAAGCATGTCCACCCCCAAGTCCTCACTAATGCTAGATGCGTGAAGCACCTGCTGCTCTTCTGTGGGCCCTAAGCCCTGTGTGGGAGCTGCTGAGTTACCACTTTGCCACACTGCTCTGGAGAAAGTGCGCAGCACACTATCCTCTGCCCTCCCAGGCTCCTGCTGCACAGCGCCATCTTGAGACCCGCCCACTGAGGTCCTGTGTAGCAGCAAGGCAGCTGGCCTAACACTGAACCAGCTGGGTGGCCCTGCCCACCCTCCCACACCACAGGAAGCAGCTGACAGCCAACTCTGAATGCCCTGGCCCACAGAGACCCCTGGGAAGTGGACAGGTGGGCCTACTCACCCACCCTTAGCCCTTAGGAGGAACCAGGCAGCTTGTCATGGGAAGCTCAACTACTGATGTCCTGGGAAGCAATCAGGAAGCCTTGCCCACCATCCTGTGGCCCAAGAAGCAGCCACTCAACTTTCCCTGAGCTGCTTGGCTTAACTAAAACCCAAGAAGCAGACAGAAAGCCTGCCCTGAACAGGCTGGCAACCTACAACTCTGCAAAAGCACCTGGCACAGTGATAGTCACCCTAATTGGGCCCATCAGTGTGGCCCAGACCCCTTGTGGCTCTCACACACTAATATGTACCCACCCATCTGCACAAGTTGCCTATCATCTACATGGGCTCACCACACCCACAGTAGGGCACACTGTATTCAGAGCAGTTGGTGAACCTATCCCAGATAACTGACCTGCATCCTAGCAGGTGGAGCAATTCCACAAATCCCTATAGCCTAGGCCACTGCAACACCCTTTGACATTACCAGCAGTCATTACAACTAATGAACCACTACTGTACCAACCTGGAACCAAAGCCAGCAGAGCCTACTCAGACCACACTCTAGTACACATGGCCAAAAGAAAGTCTCTTACTGTGAAAACCACCCCACAAAATTGGCAACTGATCCATCTGATGTGCAAGTATCAATATAGGAGCACAAGAAACATGGAAAAGTGAGGTAATATGATACCTCAAAAGAAACACAGCAACTCTCTAGCAACAACCACAAAGGAAATCAATGAACTGCCTTAAAAGAATTCAAAATGAGTATAAAAAAACTCAGTAAGATATAGGAGAACACAGACAGGTAATCCAATGATGAGGAAAGCAATTTATGTTTTAAATGATAAACTTCACAAAGAGATAGGGATCACAAAGCAAAAGTACCAAAAAGCAATCTTGAAGGTGTCATATGTCTTTCCAAGACAAGCAAAAACTATAGAAATTCATCACCACCAGACTGGCCATACAAGAAATACTTCAAGGAGTCCTAATTAGAAGCAAGATGATGATACCTGTCACCACGAGAACACACAAAAGTACAAAACTCACTAGTAGAGCAGATACATAAAAGAGAATGGGAAAAATCAAACCTTACCAATGCAGAAAACCACCAAAGCACGAAGATGAACAAGGGAGGAAGAAAGGAGCAAAGAATTTACAAAAGAATTAGAAAAAAATAACAAGAGTATATATTTGTTTATCAATAGTACCCTTCAATATAAATTGATTAAACTTCTCAAAGGATTTTAAACTGGCTAAATGTATAAAAAACAAGACACCATAATATGCTGCCTAAACAAAACTCATTTAATTATTAAAGACATACATATACAGAAATTGAAAGCATTGAAAAAGATATACTAAGCAAAAGGAAACTAAAAGAAATCAAGAATAGCTATAAAGTCAAAAACTGCATAAAGAGATGAAGAAGGCTATAATAATGAAAACTGCATTGATTCAGTAAGAAAAAATAAAAATTGAAAATATATATGGACCCATCACTAGAGCTCTCAATAATATAAAGAAAGCATTACTAGATCTAAAAGTAAAGATCAAACCAACAAAACACTGGAGGTAAACTCCACTATGGACTAAATGGTCCTAACAGACATTTATAGAACATTTCATTCAACATCTGCAGAATATAGATTCTACTAATGAGTACATAAAATGTTTTCTAGGTTAGACCATATGTTAGGGCAAGTAAGTTATTAGCAAAGAGACAAATAAATAATAAATAAATAAATAAATAAATGCAGGTGAGGAGACAGAGAAACTGTCAGTATAGTATCAGTAGGAACTTAAATTACTATAGCCATTACAGAAAACAGTACGGAGGCTCCTCAAAAAGCTAGAAATAGAATTGCCACATAATCCAGCAATCCTCCTACTAGGTATATATCCAAAGGAAACAAAATCGGTATGCTGAAGAGACATTTGTACTTGCATGTTTATCATAGCACTATTCACAATAGCTAAAAAATGGATGGAATCAACCCAGGTGCCCTCTGACAGATGAATGGATGAAAACATATAAATACATAGTGGAATAGTATTCAGCCATTAGAAATAATAAGATACTACAATTTGCAGCAACATGGATGGAACTGGTGACATGTTAAATGTAATAAGCTAGGCACAGAAAGACAAATACCACATATTCTCATCACTTATGTGTAGAAGCTAAAACATTGATCTCACAGAAGTAAATTGTCAACTAGTGGTTACTAAAACTGAGAGAGTGGAAGGGAGCGGGAACAGAGAAAGAATGGTACAGGGATGCAGTTGTGGGGGTGGAATAACTTCCGATGTTCTATAGCACAGTAGGATAACAATGACAACAATTACTTGTATATTTCAAAAGAGCTTGTAGAGAGGATTTTGAATACTTCCAACACAAAGGAGTAATTTTCAGATGATGGCCATGCCACTCTGATCTGATCGTTACTTCAATATATATATATGTATTGAAGTGTCACACTGAAACCTATAAATGTGTATAATTATGTCAATTAAAAATTAAAAATATAGTTAAAAATAAGAACCAATTGAATCAGCAGTAACCCATTTGCATAATTGTATAAAGTATTATTTTGATTCAAATTAAAATTTGATTGCTTCTTTTTAAAAGTTTTCAGAGAGATATCCTCTCTGATATCTGACATACTCTAAGGTAGCAAAAATTTTTTAATTGCTTAATTTAAAAGAGCTCAGATTTTAAAATACACTTATATTCACATATATAATGGCTAATGATACAGTGTGTTTTCTACTTTTAAGAATAGGTATAAGCTTTGAGGTCAATCAACAGCAACAATAAAACGCATCTCTAGATATCACAATACACCAATTCATCTTTTTCAATTGCTGAAACCCAGCCCAGTCAAATTAGTCATGTTTAAAACAGCTTAGCTTAAATACACACACAAACACACACACACACACACACACACACACACACACAAGAGTATATAAAAGGGAAGAAATCTGAGTAGGGTTGGTGGGTTGTATTAATGTCACTTTTCTTTTTGGAATATTGTACTCCAGTTATTTCAGATGTCAGCATTGAGGGGAAACTGCATGAAGGTTATTCAGGATTTCTCTGTACTGTTTCTTACAGCTACATGAGAACTACAGTTACCTCAAAAGAAAAAAATTGTAAAAAAGCAAGCGTTGAAACAATATAGTATGTTGCCATTTAGCTTTAAAATTACAGGTGTACTTAATCTCCAGCACTGCAAAACAATGTGTATGTATTAGGTATCTACACACATGCACAGAGACTCATATGCACACAAGTGCACACATAAGAGCCATAGACCATATTTCTATAAAGGTAACTAAGAAATCATTAATCATTTCTGGAGAGGAAAACTAGAGAAGCAATGGTAGAATGCATATTTACTTTTCACTATATACCCTTTGTGCTTTCTGAATTTTGAGCTATCATTTTCACTCAAAAAACAATTTTTGAAGAGTGACAACAAACTAGACATTTCAAACAAAAAGCAAACAACAATAAAACAAAAGGCAGCTTAGCATGGAATGAAAGCCTAGTGAATGGGTACACAAGGGTGCCACACATCAGCAGCAAAGAGCTACATGCAGAAGAAGGTTGGCAAGGCTCTTACGGCTGGAGATGCAATAAGACAGTCTGCAGTTGATCTTCCGGAACAGTTGCTTGTTAATGGGCCAGAGCACCAGTGTGAAGAGCTGGATGATGTTCACAATCAGCCCCGAGGCGATGAAGACATAGAAGAAGATCAAGTGGCACAGGAACTGAGACTTCAGCAATGCAATGAGGTCCATGGCGTGCAGGTGCTTTTGTTCAAAAATAAATACCCGGAGTAGAATATTTCCAGAAGGAAGAAAGATCCAGAGCTCAGGAAAGCGTCTAGAACACAAACAAATGTCAAACATTAGCAAAAAATATGATGTGCTTTTACAGTGGGAACAAAGTGCTCTTAAAAGAAAAATTTATCCTTGAGGTTAAACTCAATTGTCCATCGGTTGATTTATTTCTATTTGGCAAACACTGATAGAGAGCTTCCTTCCTATTGGGTGCAGTCTCATCCTCCCTTTAATTCTCTGAGCACCTCCTGGAGTCACTACTGTTTCTTTAGATGGGGAAATTGAGGCCTGGAGAGGTGAAGCAATGGAGCCATGGTTCTCCAGGCTCCCAGCTACGTGGGGCCATGTTCCCACTGTGCTCTGGTGCTGCTATGAGGAGGCCTTACCTTCCGCTGCCTCAGCCCTTCTTTGTGTATCTTCCTCCACTTGTTCTTCTCCTCCAGATCTCAACTCACTCCTCCCTTCCAAAAGGACTTCCCTAGACTCAGAACTAATGTTAGGGGGACTCAGCTGGGCTGGGGTCCACCCGGAAGGACCCCACACAAGTGTATGTTATTGCATTCCACTACTGCAGCTGAATAGTCAACCTCCCTTCTTGACTGTCAATTCACCACGACTATACTGAAGATTATCAGCATCTTCCCAGCACCCTAGAACTGCCATCAGCATATGGTTGGAGCTCAATTATTTTTTAATATATTTTAAAAATATTTTTAGAATGATTTAATGAAGATAGACAAGAGCTGAACTGTCTGATATTAGTAAATGCAAAGAATTAGGAAGGCAAGAAAATTTGCCCTCACCACACCCCCAGACACACACACACACACACACACACACCCTACATACACATACCCTAAGGGTTCTAACATCAGAAAGGAACTCAACACACACACAGCAGCCAGACTCATGGTCCTATAACCTCTCTCCAATACCAAATAGCAGAAAAGGACTTCCTGGTTTGGCAAATAAAGACTTTGAGGGAAAGGTAAAAGCAGGACTTAAGTAAGCTGATGAAAAGCTGGTGGATGCACTGCAGGCTGCTTCTCCTGGAAGCAGAAGTCATTGCAAACTACCCCAGGAAGAGCTTGAGTTCTAGGACAAACTTTTTAACAGTAACAGTTGACAGATCTTATATTGTTACAATTTTTATTTTTTATTTTTTTTACAATCTTTATTTTTAAAAAATCTTAATAATGTCAAAAAAATGATCTAGTGATAGATTCATGTCTATTATATACATCTAAGATTCCCCAAAATCCCACAAGATGAGTAACATTATCCAATTTTTCAGAATAAAAAATAGAAGCAACTCCTAGGTTGGGTGATTGCTTAGACTTAGTGTATCTAAGATCTGACCTTGGGCTCAGCTTTAAGTCCAAGCTCACTTTCCTGCACCTGTCTAAGCTGTTGTGCTCCTGGGGCTTGAGGAGGGGGTTCCCTTGAGCTCAGAGCTCTATTTTGCAGAGCAGACAGAAATGACTCCCTGGGCAAAAGACAATGTGGCCAGCAGTGAAGTTCATGGTGAAATGTATGCTCAGAGTGGGGAAGGTGGGTCTTGCCCCTCAGTCATCTGGATTGGGTTTGAGGAGGGGCGCAGTCATGAAGACAGTCACAAGAGGCACATTTACACTTGCTCAACTATCTGGAAGGAGAAAGGGAATGTCATGGAATCTTTGTCCTGATTTTTTTTTTTTTTTAGACAAGGTCTTGCTATGTAGTGTAGGCTGGCCTTGAACTCACTATGTAGCCCAGGCTGGACTCAAACTCATGGCGATCATCCTGCCTCAGCCTCCCAAGTGCTGGGACTACAGGTGTATGCCACCATACCCAGCTGCCCTGATTCCTCTGCCATCAGCTTATAGTAGCTGAGACACTCCATTCTCTAGGCCCCAGAAGCTTCATTCTCTGGCACAAAACAGACCCTGAAGGGTCAATGATCACATTTCGAGCCCTCCCCAGGCAGCAGTTCCACAGACACTTTCTGGCTGTGAAACTCCTTTCTTGGCTTCCGCACATCCAGGCTCTCTCTGAGGAGTAGGCATGAGCTGCCAGTCATTCTCCTTGCACTTGACTTCAGCAGCCACGTGAACAGGAGTGATTCACTGGGTCACAGTCTGGCAGTGGTTACAGTTTGATGTTGAATGTTCATGCAACTTCTTCATTGTCCCAGAATTAACCACTAATAACTTCAAGACAATTTGGTCAGAAGAATCTGATTCTTTTCGGGGTTTCTGGGTTTAGTGTGTGTAAAAAATGTGATAAATCATTTGCTTTGCTGATTTCACAGTAAGAAAAGGAAGTCAACAGACATCACAGCTTCAGGAATTAAATGCTGCCTTCCCCAGTGTCCAGTGTTGGGGTATTATGGGGGGAAATTAAGATTGTTTTTTCATTGTAAAGTTTTGAGGACCACCACGGGCTCAGGTAAAACCGGTGCTAGTACTACAGTACCATCTGACACTGTATTGGTGATTACGTGTAAGGAAGGGGACACAGACAAGCCTGGCAAAGACTCCGACAGACTGGCCTGGATTTTATCAGTTCCCAAGTTTGTTCTCAAATCCTTGTTGTGGAAGCTGGCACAGGTCTGAAGGCCTGGGTTGCCTGCATTTTAAGCTCTGCTGTATCTCTGATCTGTAAACAAGCATGATAGATTTTAATCAAAATCCTCAGAAGTTCGTGTGCTGGAAGGTTTGTCCTCAGCACAGTGATGCTGAGGTGGTAGAGCCTTTCAGAGGTGAGGTCTGGGGAGGTGGATAAGTCACTAGAGCATCGCCCTGGGAAAGGATTAATGCTGGCCTCATGGGGTGAGTGAGTTCTCAGAATAGTGTGTTATTAGAAACTCCTTTCCACCTAGCAATTCCCCTTCTAGGTATCATCCCAAAAGAGTTAAAGACACTGGATAACAGTGACACATGCTTACCCATGTTTATAACAGCACAACTCACAATAACTAAACCTTTGAAGCAGCCTATATAAACAGATGCAGGGATAAAGAAATTGTGGAGCACTACTCTGACATAAAGAAGGATAAACTTGAGTCATTCATAGGAAAATGGATGCTCCTTGAGACTCTAATGTTAAGTAAAATAAATAAGACACATAAGCTTAAATGTTGCATGGTTTCTCTTATATGAGAAACCCAAAATATAAGAAACAAAATAAGAAATTGGAGGAAATAGGCAGACAGATATTTTCCAAATGAAAGGGGGACCAAGAGAGGAATAGAGGGGAGAGGGAAAGGAGGGGAAGAAGCTGAAAAAGAATTAAGATGTGTTGTGTAAATGTAGCAACTTCCCACCAGGAATATAATCATTATGTACTGCAAACATGTACTAATAAAAATTGAAAAAAAAAGTACATTGTTATAAGAAGTGAGATTAGTCCACTTTCTGGTTTCCAGTCTGACCACATAATTTTTTGCTCTCACATGTGGCCACCATCATGATGCCACTCACCATGAGACCTTGACCAAAGCCAAACAGAAGCAGATGCTATGTGCTCTTCAACCCAGAGGACGGCAAGGTAAATAAACATCTTTTCTTTATATATGACCTAGCTTCTAGCATTTTGTTATGCCAATAAAAAATGGAATTGATCCACTCATTCTCAAATTTATATGCCAAAAAAAAAAAAAAAAAAAGAATAGTCAAGGAATCACCTGGAGGCACAGATGTGGTAGCACATATCTAAAGATACTCAGGAGGCTGAGGCAGGAGGTTTGTAAGTTCAAGCCCAGCTGTGGCAATTTAGCAACTTAGTGAGATCTTGTCCCATCCAAGATAAATAAATAAATAAATAAATAGTGCTAGGAATGTAGTTTAGTGTAAAGGCTCTGTGTTCAAACCCAGTACCATACACACACACACACACACACACACGCACACACACAAAATAAATAAATAAAAGGAAAAAAGTGCTATGAGTTTATTAAGTAATTTAACAGACTTTAGGACTCTTTATTTTGATTTTTTTGAGATGGGTTCTCACTAAGTAGTCCAGGCTGGTCTTAAACTCAGCAATCTTTTACCCCCAGAGTCCTGGGATTACAGGCGTGCCCCACCACACACAGTTTAGGGCTCATTATTAAAGCCAAATTATATAGAGAGGAGTCCATTGGATAAATATTTGATGTGTTTCTTAAATTTACTGCTGATAAAAGTTTGGGACAACCATCCTTCCCATCTTGAATAAAAGAAAGCTTTCTTTTCTAATGTAGCAATTAGCCAATTTAGTGTCAGACCAAGAAAAAATGGTATAAATATCTGAGCAGTGATTAAAATAGCTAGAGAGAAAATATTTTAAAATACTTTGCCTATTCCCCTTTCAGCACGAAAGTTATGGGGAGACTCTTTACAACAAATCCATTTTAGAAAGATATTACATGAGGCAGGGAATTTTATGTTATTTCTGAGAATATCAGATCAGTAACTTATGGAATTTGTAAATCAACAAATGACTATGAAGCTGTTTCCATGTCGTATTTTTGTGAACAAAGTTATTTCTTATAACCAAGGGCAACAATGAAGAACTCCTGTGCTCAAAAAATCAAAGCTGCTCCTGCCTGTACCTCGTTTGGGGTATTTAGAGCAGACTCAGTGGTGGTCTGCGCACAATGGACTCCGAAGTGCCATTTAGCCTTTTCCCAAAAGTCATCCTGTGGCCTCACGAATGGCCTACTGGCTGTCAAGTGAAGGATGTCAGTCCTGCTGGGCGCCCCTCTCAACAGGTGCACACAGTGCCATCTGGCTCAGAGGCCAGCACGGGCCATCCATGGAGCAGCAGAGGTGACACCACTGGGGCTGGAGGGAGGCTTCTCACCAGGTGGCACATCTGAATTATAAGCCAGTGTGCAAAGGCAATATATAGAAGGGACTGTTAAAACATGGAGATATTTTAAAGAGAAATTATAGAGAATAGGAAAATGCCGGAAAACTCCATTTGTATACTTTATCTAAATTTTCCAAAAGTTAGAGTCTGACCCATAAGTTTAATACATACATCACTAGAATATTCCTGCATGAATGTTTTAAACATCAA